AATACAAGTACGGAAATCTAACCGTCTTCTAGAAAATTCAGATTTAGAAATAGAAAATCAAACAGCAGTCACCCAAATCAGACCTTTCTCTGGACTTTTTCTCTTTTCAGGTTCTTCCTCAGACTTCTTGCCTGTTGTGTCCTGGCCACTAAGGTCTAGCTGTCTAGTTACACTCTCAAGAGTCTGCAGATAAATCCAAAACTAACATCATACACTTAAAATTACAAGAGTAAAGACATCCAAAAAAATTTGGGAGAAATAGGACAAGACTATGGTTATGTAAAACAAAACAAAATATAAATATAAAATAATTCTAAATACCATAAAAAAGTCAGCTGAAGAGGAAGTGTACTTATATAGATCTCTTAATAATTAATCTACTGGATCCAGGTGAAGTGACCATCACCTCAAGAAAAAAATTGGCTTAGTGCCATGGGACTGGAATATGTCATGTAAAAATTTGACTGAGGGCCAGGATGACAGGAATGTACCATCTTGAAAAATTAACACACTGGACCCGGATGACGTTTTGGTCACATAATGGGAAAACTTTAGCTGAGGAGAGGGTGACATGCTGTCAACCGGACAAATCAGCTGCTGCCAGGGTGACACTAACTGCCGTCATGAGAGAAGGCCAGGATGAAAAGACTCGCCATGAGTGCACAAGCCTCTTGGAGTGTGATTTGACTCATTTGGCGCATTATTCTCATCGATAAACGAATGTGGAATGCAACCTACGTAAGCAGGAACTGGAAGATTGCCGGCTCCAGGGAGGACACTATTTCCTTGCTGCACACCATATTCCTGGCCGCTGACCAGTGGCACAGGTTGTATTATGTAAAATTGAAAATCACAAAAAAAATCTCCAGAGTTATTTACTACATAGAGAGATGACATGGAGTCCATGCAAGGAAAATAACTAATTACCTTCTGGATAAAGCAAATCAAAAGACAAACAGGGACATTGGAAAATGAAAATAAAGTTAAAAAATTTACACAAAATAACTTTGCAAAGGGGAGGCATAGTCTCCGCTTATAAGTGTTATTATATAGGCCTATGTGCCACACGCCCAGGATATTAGCCACTTGTAACCCATCACCCGGATTTTCAGCTCCGTGCTTTCTGTGATGCAAACAGATCTAAAGGTTGCATTACATTGACCTAACACAAGTGCAAAAAGCTGCTGGAGGAAGATCAAACTCATTAGGCATTTCTGAAGGTCTCCTGCATTATTTCTATCAGTAAACATGTGTGGAAAATACCATCTGGGAACTATGGATGGAAGAGATCTGGATCTAGGGAGGACACTATTTCCATATTTAGACTCCTCTATCTACCCACTGTGACTAGCAGCACAGGGTATACCAAAGAAAACTGATTAACGCAAAAATGTAAAAAAATGATACACTACAAAATTATTCAAAAATGGAACTTGGGAAGACAGCAAAAAGCAAAAGAAACTTATGAAGAAAAAGTGATACTAGCACTGCAATGGAAAAGCAAGGAGTCTTGGCACCATGCATGTGTATTCAAAAGGCCAGACTACAAGCTACACACCTGGGAAAGTAAGTGAGCCGAATGCCTGGATTTTGGGACAAAATTTGGGCAGCAAGGCATCTGTATCCATCAGGTTAACAAATTTTTAATAAGCTTCCAGTAAACTATACACAGACCCCAGACTCATGCACATACATTGAGGAGTCTGACATAGGGAAAACTGTTTCTCTGACCTCTCCTGAGATAAAAATCACAAAAAAACAGAAGCCACAATCTCTATCCTGATCTTTCTAGCAAAACTCATCCTAGATGGTAAAACATAAAAATTGGTACACAAAGCAGGCATGAATCTTGCACAGGCCATCTCTGCACATCCTGTGTACATGGTAAGGGGACTTACATTTGCACTAATAAGTACCTGGAATAACTACTTCCATAAGGCAAAACACTAGTAGTTATGGGGACCTCAAGGGCAAGAGTCCATTACTTTAAGAAGAAAAGTGTATACTCACAAGACACTCAAAATATCTCACCAATCTGAACAAAAGAACATTGAACAGTACTCGAGAAAAAGACAAGTACTAAATTCTTCCGTCTCCTTCTCTCTAGTGTATCCTCCACACCCACAAGATAATTCAGACTGAAGGAAAGGAAAGAGGAAGAAACAAAACAAGAGAGGGAACAACAAACAAAACATTCCTTTTGCCATCCACATCTCAAGAGAAGAAACTTGTGTAACCAAGCTTCCCAAAGACTGGTCTCATCCTCCCGTGAAAATACAAACACTCACAGAAATAGGAGGAAATGGGAAGAAACAAAAGTATAAGGGAATGAAGATGTGTGCCTATAACTGGAAGATGCATCCACCTAGAAAGAAAAATAAAAATAAAATGGGTGTAGAATCCCAATCCACAATATGTTGGAAGAGAAAAATAAATGATAAAAAATCTAACCATAACACTATCAACCATAACTCATAAAAGACAAAAACAGAAAAGGAAA